TTAAGGGCATTCAGGTAGGAAAGGAAGAAATCAAGCTCTCACTATTCGCAGATGATATGATACTCTACTTAGAGAACCCAATAACTTCCACCAAAAAACTCCTAGAAACAATAGACTCGTATAGTAAAGTTGCAGGTTATAAAATCAATACCCAAAAGTCCATGGCTTTCCTATACGCAAACAGTGAGAGAGAAGAAAGCAACATGAAAAAAACAATCCCATTCACAATTGTGCCCCAGAAAATCAAGTACCTAGGAATCAGCTTAACTAAGGAAGTAAAGGACCTGTACAAAGAAAACTACAAAACGCTACTTCAGGAAATAAAAGAGGACATGAGGAAATGGAAAGATATCCCCTGCTCATGGGTCGGGAGACTTAACATTGTCAAAATGGCAATACTACTGAAAGCATTGTATAAATTCAATGCAATCCCTATAAGGATACCCATGACATTCTTCAAAGAAATGGAGCAAACACTCTTGAAATTTATATGGAACAAAAAGCCCCCACGAATAGCTAAAGCAATTCTTGGGAAAAAGAAAATGGGAGGAATCAACCTCCCGAACTTCAAACTGTACTACAAAGCAGTAATAATTAAAACAGCATGGTACTGGAACAAAGGCAGAACTGCAGACCAATGGAACAGGGTTGAATACACTGACATCTCTCCTCAATCATATGCTCATCTAATCTTTGATAAAGGTGCAAGTAATGTGAAGTGGAGTAAGGAAAGCCTCTTTAATAAATTGTGTTGGCATCACTGGACGGCTACATGCAAAAAAATAGGCTCAGAACTCTGCCTAACACCATGTACAAAAGTAAGATCAAAATGGATTAAAGACCTCAACATCAGACCAGAAACCATAAGGTACATTGAAGACAAAGTTGGCAAAACCCTCCATGACATTGAAGCTAATGGTATCTTCAAAGATGCCACGCCACTGGCCGAGCAAGTGAAAACAGAGATAGATAAATGGGACTATCTTAAACTAAGAAGCTTCTGCACCTCCAAAGAAACAGTGACCAAAATACAAATCAGTCTACAGAATGGGAAAGGATATTCACCGAATACACATCTGACAAGGGGTTGATATCCAGGATATACAAAATACTGGTTAAACTCCACAAGAAGAAAACATCCAACCCCATCCAAAAATGGGGCAATGAAATGAACAGAAACTTTCTCAAAGAAGAAATCCGAATGGCAAAAAAGCACATGAGAAAATGCTCTACATCATTAATCATCAGGGAGATGCAGATCAAAACCACAATGAGATACCATCTCACACCTCAGAGACTGGCCCACATTCAAAAGAACAAAAGCAACCGATGCTGGCGTGGATGTGGCGAGAAAGGGACACTCCTTCACTGTTGGTGGGAATGTCCACTGGTTCAGCCCTTCTGGAAAACAGTATGGACGATTCTCAAAAAATTAGAAATTGAGATCCCATTTGACCCAGCAATACCACTCCTGGGAATATATCCCAGAGAGACAAAAATGTATAGTCGAAGTGACATCTGCACTTGTTTGTTCATTGCAGCACTCTTTACAATAGCCAGAAACTGGAAGAAACCTGAATGCCCAAGAACAGATGACTGGTTAAAGAAACTTTGGTACATCTACACAATGGAGTACTATGTAGCTCTTAGAAAAGATGAAGTCATGAACTTTACATACAAGTGGTGCAATATGGAAAGTATCATGCTAAGCGAAATGAGTCAGAAAGAGAGGGATAGACATAGAAAGATTGCATTCATCTGGGGGATATAAAGAAACAAAGTATGAGATTAATACCCAAGAATAGCTGAGATCAGCACCAGGAGGATTACTCCATAACTTAGAGGCCAGCCGGGTATCCTAGAGGAAAGGGCTATTCAGATAGAGAAGGGAGCACCAAATAAAGGATGTTTGGAGGATCCTCCCAGGAGGGGAGATGCATGTCGAAAGTAGACTATGGACTGAACATGTTTGCCACTCAATGCCTCTTTTGCAGACCACAACACCCAAAAGGAGAGAGAGAACACAGGGGATTGCCCTGCCACAGAGACGGGGGGATGGGGGGATGGGGGTGGGAGGGATATTATCCATGGTGGTGGAAAATGGGCACTGGTGGAGGGATGGGTATCTGATCATTGTATAATTGAAACCAAAGCACAAAAATTGTAAATCTACAACTTTAAAAAAAATAAAATAAAATAAAGGGGAAAAAAAAAAAGAAAAAAAAAATAAAATAAAATAAAGGGGAAAAAAATATTAAAAAAAAAAAAGAAGGACAAGCCAAAGAAAGTAAACATTATGTTGTATACATTCTACTGAAATTCTATATGAACATTGAACACAATTAGATAATATTTAATGCAATAAGATATATAGCATTGAGTTCACTAGCTCTTAATATAAGCTTTTGAGAACTCTGAAACAGAATTCTTTGGGGGACTGGAGAAAAAAGGGGGTTTGGATCATACCCAATAACTGCTCCTGGGCTATTCCCAGCTTGGTGCTCAGAGACAGTTCCTGGAAGTGCCGAGAAAAAGAACCCTGAGCCTCCTTCCTGCAAAACATATGCTCAAGCCCAGTTAAGGTATATCTCCAGTCCTGAAAGAGAACTCTTATTAATGAAGTTACAATGCGCTTAAATGTTCCCTTATAGCTGAGTCATCTTGGCTGTGTGTTTGAAAGCAAAGGGAAGCTCTATGTTTCTCCACTCTAAGTTTTAGCCTTTTCTTCTGATATGCAAAACTTAGGGTGAAGAAATATTGGAATTTCAAAGCCAATTCAAAATAATGAAAATGCTATGAAATCATAAATAAGCACAAATCTTAAACTTAAGCTTGTGTTTGTGTGTGATTTAATACATGGCTTGTGCCAGGTTACATACTAAGTTGTTTATCTTATTACAACCTTTCCCCCCCATTTGATAAAAAAGATAATTGAGGAAGTGAGGTTTCAGGAGTCACTAAGGTGACAGACAGCTCAGGAGTGATAGAGTAGGGACCTTCACAGGACTGGCTGAAGACTCACCCCTGGACTCTGCTGTGATCCTTATCTATCAGGTTAGACTGCCTAACACACACCCTTGAGATGACAGAGATTCTTTGCTTGACCAAACTTTAGTTGGGCTCCTGAACTTTCTTCTAGACCCATCTATCCATTTGCTTGTAAAATTTCACTTTAGCAAGAACCTGTCTAAGTCAATTCAACCAGAACGCCTTAGCCTCTGTATTTAGACACTCCCCTGTTTGTTTTTTCTCAATAAAACATAGAAATATTCAAATTGGCATGTCATATTACAATGAATTACTACAAAGTCAAAATTCACAATCAAGCATAAAAATCCTGTATATCATTCTTAGACTACAGTTTCTGCACAAAGATTTACAGATGTGTGGTTTTCCCCAGGTATGATTTTTCCTCAATGTGCTGCTGCAGAGTTCAGAGGTTCTACTAGAATATTCCCCAACTCAAGTGCAGGATCAGTATCTTCATCAATTCTTCCAATAACTTCAGCATTGTAATCTCTTACAAAGTGACGCTTTACCACTTGTTCTACTCTTTGTGAGCTTCAATTCATTTATAATACTCATCCAAAATAAATTAATGGTCTGGTTAAAACATTTTAGTGTTCCAACAATAATTCTCCCACTAGAAACAATTACAACAACTCTTTAATTGTAGTTCTCCAGGGCAGATGTCATAATTCTCAGCAAGGCAGTTCCAGGATTTACAACAGCATCTCCCACAAGAGAAACAAACAAACAAAAAAAGGCAAATCTTTTCAATTAATCCATCTTCCAGGTGATGTCTGCTTACCCTGACCTATGTTCAGAAAGAATCTACTTCTGGTTTAGCCAGAAACTCTTTTCCCCCTGATGTCCCCTTGTTCAATTTCTGTTCATTGGCCTCCACCTTGCTCCTTGGTTATAACTTCCTAGTTGCCTGTGTTCTAATTCGGAACTGAGCCCAATCCCCCTCCTCCATTGCAAAAGTCTGTAGCAGAACTAGATGATAACCTCCCTCCACTCCCCCAAATCTTCTTTAATGATCACTGATTTCTTTTTTTTTTTCTTTAACCCAAAGGAAGGGAAATTACCTCTCAGGTTTAGTCCCCTAAAAAGACGTTATGGAAGCCAGGGGCAGGAGCAAGCGGGTAGGGCTTGCCTTGAATGCTGCCCACCTGAGTTCTATCCCTGGCACCACTTTTGGTAACTTCAGCCCTGACAGCAGTGGTCCCTGACCACAAAGCCAAGAGTAAGCCCTACTCAGTAATAGGTGTGGGCCTCAAACCAAATAAAATGAAATAAAATAGACTGTAGGTCTGGAATATTTAGACGCCCAGATGTACCCTCTAAAAGGCTTTTTTATAAAAAATCTAGGGTGAATCTTCTTGCAATGTTGGATCAGTCCAAAACAAAGGAGCAGTCCCTGGAACCAATTTTGTAAAGCCACACTACGAGATACAAAGTCAGTCATTCCACTGTGACACTGTAGGGGGCACACTTTAACTATATATACTGGGGGCGGGGCGGCAGCGGGAGCTGTATAAAAGGTTGCTGAGTGGGTGTGTCCAAGTCCGAGAAGAAAGGATAAAACTCAGAATTGCAACATAACCAAGTAAAGTTTTAAGAATCCTATGCAGTTAACAGAAGAGTGACTTTCAAAAGAAGCCACTGAATTCGGTTTTATGAATTGTTGCTGAGAGACAGCCAGTCGTGTCTTAGGGGTCCCCTGACCTGTCCTGAGTTGTCAACTCCAAATCTATTTCCATTTTCACTTGCTGCATTGAATTATTTTCGCTTGAGGCTTTTCACTTCCACATTCCCGCCCTCATCCTCCCAACTTTGCAAGTGGGCGCCCGGGGCGCTGCGTAGACGCAGCGTTGGGATCTGGGTTTGCACGGAGCTGTCAGTCACCGATCCGCCGAGATCCACCCCTTGTTCTCCTCCCCTCTTCCCCGGAGAATTCCTCCGGGGCCTCTCTCTCTCCCAGGGCCGGCGCGAGGCCAGCGCCCAAGGCTCCTGAAGTCCCTTTGCTGGAACTTGCTCTCTGCCCTCCTAGAGCCATGCTTCGTGTGATTGTGGAATCTGCCAGCAATATCCCTAAAACGAAGTTTGGGAAGCCGGATCCCATTGTTTCTGTTATTTTCAAGGGTAAGGAAAAGTTTGCTTCTCTTTTTTCTCAAGTCCCGTTTTGGAATGCTACTTCGGTTTCTGGGCTCCTTGTTCCTGAGAATCTGAGCATACGCAATGGTTAGTTTCTCTTCCTTTCCTTGAGCTTGTTACCTGTTGCCGCTCCTGGGACCCAACCCAGAGGATCCAGCTCTCTGGAAGGCATCTGTTTTTTCCCCAGGGCTTGGAGACTCAGACTCAGACCTGTGAATTTAACTCTAATAATGTGATTTCCTCTCTGACAGAGAGCTCTCTCGGTATGCCCAGATTTCAGGTGGGGCTTCCAAGTTAAGAGTTTCAGCCGACTTATGTGCAGTTAAATTTTCTCTGTCAGCTTGAAATGGATGAAAGGAAGGGAAAGAGCCATTAAATGATGTTTTCTCCATCTTCTGCAGCTTTTAGGTTGTTGAGACAGCAACTCTACCATTGGGGGGACAAATTTGATCTCCCTTAATGACTTCGGGCCAGTGACTTTATTTCAACTGGATGTCACTTTTCTTATCTGCAAAACGGATGAGGAGGGTTTAGCTCATGTTAAAAGGCCCCAATTGTGGTTCTTGTGGTTCTGAAAAGTTGTTTTCCTATGACATTTAATTACAACCGCTGAGAGGGCAGGAACAGTTGGTGCTCGGCACCCTCCCGGCATTGTAAATGAGTCCGGTTCTGGCTGCTGTTGTGTCAAAGCTCAGTGTAGGAGTTCTGTCATTTTCTGTTTGCCCAAGGCTTTGATAAGATTAGCCAGCTCACTTCTAGGTGGGAGGGATGAGGGAGAAGAGGAGAATGCAGAGAAAAGTGGGAGCCTGGAGGCGTGTGGTTCCTGACCATGCCTCACACGCTTCCAGCTTACTCCAAGAACGCAACTCCTTCTCATTTTCGCTTGCCAGCTGTCAATGCCTTTCTTTTATCCTCTATTTTCTCTCCAAAATGCTTTTTTTCAAATCATTTTCTAAGAGGAAACGCGGATAAGCATAGAATGCTGGGCTGGAGAGATAGTATGCGGATAGCAAACAAATAAAAAATGCTCAAATAACCTATGTTGGCGCAGATGTGGTGAGAAGGGACCCTCCTTCACTGCTGGTGGGAATGCCGACTGGTTGAGCCCTTTTGGAAAACAGTATGGAACGATTCTCAAAAAACTAGAAATTGAACTCCCGTTTGATACAGCAATACCTCTCCTGGGAATATGTCCCAGAGAGGCAAAAAAGGATAGTCGAAGTGACATCTGTACTTGTTTGTTCATTGCAGCACTCTTTACAATAGCCAGAATCTGGAAAAAACCTGAGTGCCCGAGAACAGATGACTGGTTAAAGAAACTTTGGTACATCTACACAATGGAGTACTATGTAGCTATTAGAAAAGATGAAGCCATGAAATTCACATACGAGTGGTACTACATGGGAAGTGTCATGCTAAGCGAAATGGGTCAGAAAGAGAGGGACAGACATAGAAAGATTTCATTCATCTGGGGAACATAAGTAACAAAATAGGAGACTAACATCCAAGAATAGCCGAGATAAGTATCAGGATGTTCACTCCATGGCTTGTAAGCCAGCTGCACATGCTAAGGAAAAAAGGCAGCTCAGATAGAAAAGGGAGCACTAAAGAAAGGGTGTTGGGGAGGATCCTCCCAGGATGGGAGATGCATGCTGGAAGTGAACTATAGACTGAGCATGATTGCCTCTCAGTACCTCTTTTGCAAACCACAGCACCCAAAACAAAAGGGGAATGCCCTGCCACAAAGGCGGGGGGGAGGGCTATGGGGGGGAAGAGTACTGGGATCAGTGGTGGTGGAGGCTGGGCAGTGGTGCAGGGATGGGTACTCAATCATTGTAGAATTGAAACCCAAGCACAAAAATTAGTAAGTCTACAACTGTACCTCAAGGTGTTTCATCAATAAAAAACTAAATCAAAAAAATGCTCAAAACTGACAAATGGTAGTACAATTGAAAATTGGGGAGGAGGGGGAAGGAATGGAATTTTGTTTTTAATTAAATAGAATTTTGTTTTGGTTTTTTGGCCAGACTCAGCATTGCTTAGAGGCCAATTCCAGTTCTGTGTTCAAGGGTCATTCTGGTGGTGCTCAGGAAACCAAACCACGCTGGGGATGGAGTTCAGGCCTCCTGCAAGCAAAGCTTGTGTTCAGACCATTGAGCATCCTTCTGTTCTTAAGATGGAACAAAATGGTTTGAGACTCTGATTACTAAATGTTATGTGGTCATGTTATGTCTGTATTCATTTACATGCTTTCATTTTTTAAAGCTTTTTTCTTGAAATAATCACATAATAGAGATAATATGAAAAGCTTTAAATTGTTGAGAGGAAAGAGCTTTTAACTATTAACACATAAAGACATAAAACATATGGAACTTAACTTGGAGATGTCATTATTTGAGGCAAGACCTATGATAAAGGAACTGAAATTATAAGTACTTTGTATAGATTAAATTATAGTTTGCTATATAATGAAATTTGATTTACTTGTCTAGCATGATATACATGGATGAAACTTTTTTAATTGGCTCGAATAATGACTATGATCATGGTCATTTGATTGAAAGTAGAGAAATTTGGTTAAATAGAGCAAGTAGAATCTATATAAATAATTGCATTACTGTTTTATTTCCCCCCCCCCCCCCAATTTCCTTTGATTGTACAAATCAAATTGGATGGCAGTATCATTCATTCATCTGTAAGGTCTCTAACTGAAGAACTGTGAAGTCATAGGAGAAACATCTGGATTCCAGCCAACACTTGCTAAATATCTGATGACCCAGATTTAATCATCTGGGTTTCAATCTTCCCAGCAGTGGAATGATGTGTACTAATCTAGTGAGTTTGCTTTGCATTTAAAATCTATAATTTTTACTTCCATGTATTAAACATCTGCTCTTCTCAAGATAAAGAAGACATTGCTTTAAACTCAGATTCTAGGGCCACATGGCAATGAATATGGCATTTTTCTTGCTTTCAATCTATCCCAGAGATTTTAAAATGAATGGTGAATGATGACAACTCCTTTCCAGATGTGTGGCCCAACTTTGAGCAGTGGATAAAGATAAGTAACATCAAATTCTGGGGAACTGAAGGTATTTACATCATGACATGTCCATCAGAGGAAACGTGGAGCAAAGCCAGCTGTGCCTTATGTCACTGAAGTAGGGAGGGAGTAAAAGTAAAAAGTCCTAACAGAAGATCAACAGAGCCAAGGAAAATTCCTACAATTATTACCTTTATTGAATTGTGTAGCAGGTTGACTCTTGAGTGCATAAAAGGTCAGGGTCAGAGCAGTAAGCAACTCTTTTCAAACTCTAAGACAGGTTGAAGATGAGTAAGTGATGCTGTGCTAATGAGGATGCTGTGTAGACACTGTCCGGCCCTGTTCAACTTGAGCTACATTGGAATGGAGCTTGGACCTGAGTGTGGGATACAGGAGTGGAGTCAGGCAACCAACTGGTTTAGAGTTAATCTGTCATTTGTGTTCAATTTCTTTCTGAGGCTCACTACTAAACTTCACAGGATCTAGCCTGAACCAGGAGGATATGGGCTGATGTGTGAGTGTCACTGATGTTAGTACAGAAGTGGCTTACGAAAACCACAGAGTTTATTTGATTTTTCATGTCGCCAGGTTTGTAACTGAGCTTGAATCTTAAAGCCAGGATATCTACCAGCCAGAGGCTGCAATTCTCCCTGGCACTCTCAACACACAGACTATTAGTTGTAAAGCTAAATCCTGTTGACATTAGATTAGGCAAACTCTAGCATTCGTTCTCAGTTAAATTTTCTAAAATTGAAAAAAAGCTTTTTCAATAAGCAGAAAATCTATGAGAATCCATTTAAAAATGAAGCAGAGGAGCTGGAGTGATAGTACAGCGGGTAGAGTGTCTGCCTTGCACGTGGCCTACAGGGGTTCAATTCCCAGCATCCCATATGGTCTAAGGAGCACCACCAGGAGCAATTTCTGAATACAGAGACAGGAGTAACCCCTGTGCATCACCCGTTGTGACACAAAAAGGAAAAAAAAAGCAGAAATATGGGAGTAAGATGCAATAACGGGTCTCATTCACATTCGAGTCAGAAGGGATGAGCAGATGAGAAGATGCTCACTCAGACTGGCCATCTTGCCGTGCTTAGGCTTCCACAGAGCCGCTGTACTGTATTTAAGAAACTTCAGGCAGGCCTAACTGTTTAATCTACTGAGTCATTCCTTTCACTTCCGGGAGAACAGGGGTTAGAGGCAACACCTAAAGAAAGTGGTCACGCCCTGAATTGCAGTACGGGAACTTTGAAAATCTCACTTCCCAAAGGCACATTCTGCAGGCTCTTCGTCACTCCTTAAGCCTCTGCTGCCTCTTAGAAATAAAGTGGCTTATGTTCTTTTCCCTCCTCCACATCATTTCTGTACATGCCCTCAAGGTGTGTCCAGAGGGTGAAGGTATTTTTCTGGATTAAGTTTCCGGATATGTTTCTCCATAGGCTTTACCTGGGATTATGCCTGAAAGAAGGCATGGAGGGATATGTAAACCCTCTGCAACCTTTCACACACCTCTAAGGTCAAATATACATTTTGAATTCTGATTATGGAAGCAAGAGTTGGCAGATTAGAGATAGAGATATCACAGGGCAATAAAGTCATTGATTCCTGGTTTTAAAAAGTACCACTGGAAGTCAGCCCATCTCTCTTCTTTCAGGAAAAATTAATTATATTTAATATTCCCTTGGGTGCTTTGTGGATAAGGTTTGGCAAAGAGCCACTTCATACATCCCCAAACAGAGAACATGGACAGCTCCTAGCACCTGTCACTCCACAGTAACCAGCTGCTGTACTTGCATTCTGGCAAGGAAGATGTGAGGCTGCTCATTTTCATGTTGAAAATCCATATGGAGAAGGCTCAGTGCATAGTGCATATGTGAATGCCAGGCCATGCACTGGTTCCTTACTGGTTGCATGTGCTTTCTCCCAAACAGCCTCTGGTGTCAGGGTG